GACGTTTAAATTAAGTGACGTGAAAATTTTGTTAAAAAATTCCTTGGAACGAGTAACTGCAGATAACTGGCAAAGATGTATACATCATGTACAAAAAGAAGAGGAGAAAATGTGGGAACTCGATAATTTAATTGACGTTACTGTGGAACCTATCGTTATCAATCTAGGAGACGAAGATAATTCATCAGAATATTCAGAGGATGAATTTTAATATACCTACTTTTTTATTTTCTTTATTGTACATTTATACAACACTACATTTACTCACCATAATTTGAATTTTCAAAATACATATATTTTTGTGTGGAATAAAAGTCTATTCATTAAATTTAAATAAATATTTTGATAATAATATTGAATAATTTTATTTGAATTACTAAAAACCCTCTTAACCCGGTTATGATGCTTAAAGTAGCCTCATGTTTTGAAATGCTGTTTTTATATTGTTTACTTATAAGAGAAATGGACCGAGAAATTGAAGCGGCATAGACAAAGACGGATTGTCGGGGATTAAATTTTAGCCACCTGCTATATAAAAATATTGAATATAAGCACCAGTACTACATTTATTTACGATTTGCATACATAATAAGCTTTTATTACTCTCTTTCATTTCTAAACAGACTAGTCATTTCCCATTGGGGTAGTTTGGCATAAACTAAATGACAGTGGCGGATCGTGACGTTGAGAATAGGTGAAGTATATTGAATTGATCGACTAAAGAGAAAAAAAACGCCGCAGGCGAAAATTTTCAGGGTCAAACGGCTTTAAATGAATCTGGAAATGTTTAGTTGCATTTGCAATATTACCGAAAAAACTGAGAAGGATTTTCATTTAGATTTTATAAAAATTAAAAATATTAGTTCGGCTCGTGGACTTCTTTTTGCAAACATTAACGCACACCAAAGAAGGTTCGTGGTAACGACGTTGCCAAAATTGTTAAATCCCTCCTTATTCCACACGCCCGACTTTACACCCACAATTAAATATGGCATAAAGAAAAGTTTTTTTAAATAAACACTTCCACACAACACACAACCACTTATACTCCCAATACCATTCCTTCCAAATATTCCAAAACTTCCGAACGTACACATTGTCTTTTGACTTCCCCCCTTTTTTCATCATCGAGAGAAGGTACAGGTCTCGTAATTAAAAACATCCTTTTTGATATCAATTTTCCCTCTAGAAAATTGCGATTCCAGTGAAATATTATTGATGCAAAACAAAATATTAATAAAGAACCGTTATAATCATGCACGGGGCGACGTATCGTATAAACTGTTTAAAGGCAGGCGATGGACGTTGGGCGATGACAATGCTGCTTCAATTTCCGCGTCACTCGTTCCCCCACGCCGTAGTTTACTCACGTGTTGGCCGCCTCGTTGCTATGAAAACCACCGGAAACAACGCTATGAAGAGAAGCGGAATACAGACCGATTTCGATCCACGTCACTTGCTTATAGTATACGTTTATTAATAATTTTAAATTGCACAACCAAACGGAAATTTTAGGTGAGGCGGAGAGTCACTTGCGTCACCTGGCAAGCCACCACTGCTAAATGAATAATTTCTATAACCCTCGAGTTGGGATGCTATACTTTGTCTACGACTGTCAAAAAAATATTTAAAAAATACGCTAATTAAAAATTAATGCACCACTACAAATGGATGGCCAATCTGATTTTGGTGACGTTATTTTAATCCACAGGTAGGTCTAGTAATCATTAACAACAGCAAGATAAAAGTTTTTATAGAAATTGAAATTTCTGGTAGGTACATACGTGGATGCAAGAAGAAATAAGTGCTATTCCTCGAAATTTGAAACGTCCTATAGAGTGCTCAAACTTAAATAATATTTGTAGCCCTAACAACACATGTTTCCAAAACGTGTAACTTTTCGGTACGGATTTTGGGCTGGAGGTATCAACGAACCAATCTTCTTAGAAAATGCGACTGGTCAGGCAATAAAGGTTAATAGTGCTCACTATCGCGACATCATAATACACTTTTTTGTGCCTAAATTGCAAGATACGGATGTAGACGACATGTGGCTTCAATAAGTCTGTGCCACATGTCATATAGCCCGAGAAGCAATTCAATTACTGCATGAGTCATTTCCTGGTCGTGTAATATCCCGTTTTGATGATCAGAATTGACTGTCCAGATCATGCGATTTAACGCCGTTAGACCTTTTTTCTTTTGAGTTTTTTTTGACCTCTAAGGTTTATACCACCCAGCTCATGACCACTCACGCCTTGACCACATTTATGTAAACCGGTCATGGAAAATTTTGACAACAGTGTTGCGTATGTGCCAGCAAACCTGTGCAGGCTATTTACCTGATATGCTATTCCATATGTAACCCTATACTGTACATTTGTACTGTCTGAATCAATAAAAAATGTAGAACTTCTAACTGAAAGCCTGAGTTTTCTATCAAAATTACTTGTTCACTCCAGTACTTAATAATAGATATTTTTGAATTGCGTATTTTAAGAATATTCTAACTACTGTCTATTTAGTTTTTGTAACTTCATTTGTATAAAGAAAAGTGCAGTGACTTTTGAAGGTAAATAAAGCGAAATAAAGTGAAATAAATAAAATTCTCTGAAAGCTTGCTACCACCTGGTTTCATACAGGGTGATAAGGTGCCTATAAAGTCTCGTAGGTTGAGGGTTGGCCCGGCCTCAGTGAAGAGGGGAGTGGGTAAAGGGTTGGTTTTAAGTTCAGATTAAGGCGCCACACGTTTTACAACCCGATGGAAGGTAAACCTATTTGTTAAATTTACGAGACTGAACCTTACGGAAATCAAAAAACAAAAAAACGGGAAAAAGGCTTCAAATTATAGGCACGACTCAAAATAGAAATTTTACTAATATAAACAAATAAATAAAGTTCATACAGGCCAAGGTGATCAGATTGTAATCACCACCAAACTTGTAAATAGCTTTCTCGGTACGATAAAACTTAAATTAACAAAATATCCATGAAAATAGGATTAGATTCAATGAAATCAATTCAAAATTTAATTATTATTCCTTCAGAATTAAGTTCTGACTATAATTTCTTAATTAAATCTTGTTCGGAAAAATATTTTTTAAATTCTATTGTTTCAAGAAAACACCAATTTGTAAAATTTTATTTAATAAATAAACATAAATAAATTTCTCAATCACAATATATATTCTATAACTAAACAAATCACATTAATATATCATAAATAATAAATACATTAGAGTAGGATACAAACTCTTTTATTTTGACACAAAAATATTAGCAATTCGTATCCATTAGCACCTTGTTAATAATTACTCAATTAAGCTTATACATCTTTCAAGCAAAAATAGTAATTATGTTTACAGACCGATTTTTCCAGTTACCTTTGTTACTTAGAAACGAAATAATTAGAGAAAGGTGACCACGTACATGCGTATTCCAATTATTTGGTCTTTTATATCAGCTAATGTAAATTATTAGATATTAAATCTGGACTAATTTTAGGAGATCATATTCTCTAGCAATCAAGTTGATTTTTTTGCAAAATACTGATATATGCAAAAATTATTTTACTGGTATATACTTTTAAATAAAATGAGAGTTTGATGACTTAGGTTGTCTCTCTCGCCTTGTGTATCGCTTTCTTTGCTCGTCTTTAATACCTCATTAAACTACAATACATTAATTTGTGGTCATGGTGAATTTATACATCTGACAAACATCAACATTTTTACTTTTTTTATGTTTACTTGGTGTCTACTAACTTCTATCGGCACTTTGGAAGACAATAAACTAATTTACGGATCAGTTACTTTAGTTTTTATAAAAGAAATGGAAAATTAAAACCAACGACGTTATTATTTCAAACAAATGTTGACTTCTTCATGATCGGTTCTGTAAATAAATCTGTAATTAAATAATAATAAACTAAATTGGCATAATCTGTTTCCCCTGATAACGATACTTTTATTACTGACATTCACGTTAAGTTACTGGTTTTGATATTTTCTGTTAAATTGATAAACTATTCCATAAGTGTAACATAAGAAAATTAATAAAGCGATAACGATGAAACAGATAAATTATTCTAACGTACGTAATTAAGCTTGTGATTAATTACGTATTGTTTATAACAGACTTGATCCAATCCGACGTGACGGGCACCTTGTGGTATATTCCGGGCTGGTGGGGTTCCCCACACCCGAACCCCGCACTTGTGATGCCGGCCAGCGTCCAACGGCCCCTCTCGAGAACGATAAGCGGCCCTCCTGAATCCCCTAGACAAGCATCGTGTTTGCCATTCTCGTGGCCCGCGCAAAGCATCTCTTCACGCAGATCCACAGTAATCTGCTTTATCCGGTGCCACGTCATACACTCTCTAATATCTGGAAAAGATAAACTTTTTTAAATGCATAATTTACGTAATTATTTTACAAATCTTTTGAATCTAACACTATACGTTTGTCTCGAGGTGTGTCTTTAGTTTCTCTGTTACTATCAAACTGAAGAAGTTTTAATCAAAAAATGATCAAGTAGTCCAGTCACTGAAGGTGAAAATAAGCTCCTAATTTTTTCGGATACCATGGATTTTACTGAAAATTAGCATACAAGCTCATCTGAACCCCCACTTCAAAAGTTATATTGTCTAGATGTGTGCTTTTTTCTATTTGGGGGTGAAAACTACCTTTGTACGAAAAAAATGCGAAAGTCGCAGATTTACGTATTTTAAAGATTCAATGTGTTCAAATATGTTGGATAAAGTTCCTTTCATGTTTTTTGATATAATTTATAAAATTTAATTACTTTTCAACCTTAAAGATCCTTAAAAACTACTCTTCCATGGCCAAAAAATTAGAAAAAAAGATTGTAACAGTTTAAAATATTGCATTTCATTTGTTATTCATTAGAAAGCTTACGACTCATTACAAAGTTGCAACCCTTAAAAACCATCCCTTATAATAAAATAAACAAAAAAATATTATTGAAAGCTTGAGACGTTTTAATGGAATGCATATGTTGAATCATAAACTTTTTATTGGTTTTCAAATGATCTATGATATAGGTATTGCAACTTTTAGAAAAATTATATGTGAGTATGATGACATATGATGACATAATTATTTTTTTTTTAATTTTAGTGAATTTAATCTTAATATTTTTTTATTAAATTAATACCTATCAAATAAAAAAAAATTGTATATAGGGTGTCCCGGAAATGGTGGGTAATCTCTCGAATATAGATAGATAATGAGAAAATAATGTCACAAGTTCATATAAAAATTTTTCCCCCGGGCTCACCCTGTAGAGTTATTAGCTCTTGAAGTTGAGAATTAAAAATGTTTTTTTTGCTGTAACTTTTGTATTTTTCAATAAATTTTGAAAATTTTTTGGCTGGATCTATAATTTTTGAAGCTGCTTTGAATGATAATATGAAATCCTCGATAATAATTATGGGGGCCCGGGGGCAAAGCACCCCCCACCAAAATTTCTAGAAAAAAAAATTTTGTTACACTATACCCCAAATTTTCCATCATTTTATAAGAATTTATGGTATTTTACGTAAAAAAGGTATACTTGTTGAATATCCATAAAATAGATATTTTTTTAGATAAACCCGTTTAAAGAGGAAGGTAGCATTTAATTTGAGACATTTTATTTAACAAAAACACAGGTTTAATCGTAGTTGGTTTACGGTTATAACTACTTCTATGAAACTCGAAAACTTTTTTTAATGTTTTCTGTGTATGATGCAAAGTTTGACACACCATATCATTGTTAAAAAGACGGGACTGTGAAATTTATTTACTAATCTTTTGAATTAAAGACTAATCACTTATATCTTGTTTCTCTGCAACAACCAAACTGGAAAAATTTTGTCGCATAATTGTTATGTATTAAACATTGACTGTGTAATTTAGTAATTCATTTAATAATGTTTGAATCTGCTTGTCACTTATATTTACTTTTACTACTACCAACAAACTGAAAAAACTTTGTGAAAGAAGGCATGGTATATTTCACAATTGTTTTCTAAAATTATGATGTAGAAATTGACACACCATCTCATTCATAAAGCTAGTACCGGGTGGTTCAATTTGTTCGTTTTTCAAGGGTTACTGCGAATCTGTCATAGAGTAAATCTGATAGACGAGTACAGAGCTCTTTTTTTTTCGAGAAAATAACAATGACGCAAATCGCATCTCTCTATCTGTTACCATTTCTTTCTACTTCTACTATCAAGATATCTTAAAACGGTTTGAACATTCTACAGGCACTTTTTTGAGATACATTCGATGGTCTAAAGATAATATTTTTAGTTCTTCTGATATGACCACAACTTTTGTTTATTTTTATGAAACATACTATATTTTATTTCAAAAACGGAAAGAGGCCTAAAAATGCATATGTACCAAAAATATATACTTTTTTGTGTTTGACTTTTAACATTAATAAACGTGTTAACACAGATCAGTGGGTCTTTACTCAAATGAAGACAAATACAATTTGATAAAATGTTTTAATCTAAGAAATGAAAATGTAGATTTAGGATAAATGGACCCATTCGCTGGCCCGCTCGAGCTTGCGATACTGCACCACCTGATTTTTGGTTATGAGGCTACTTAAAAAATATTATTTATAAGGAAAGATCCAATATCCTTGAAGAATTAATGAACAGAACAAGAGTGGCATTTCAAACAACAACACCTTTAATTATTAGAGATGAAAGAAAAATTGTCTATGTTCGGTTCAACATACGTCAATTGTTAAAAAGACCGAAACTTCGTAATCTTGTAATTTATTTACTACTGTTCTGAATGTGCTAATTACTTATATTTACTTTTACGATTGCCAACGAACTGGAAAAGCTTTGTGAAAAAATTGTGCATTGTATGGTGTTGAGTTCGACACACTGCCTTATTATTAAAAGGGACAGTAACTGTAACTTTGCAAATTATTTACTAATTTAAGGCTAATCATTTATCTTTCTACTACAAAAAGGAAAGCCTTTTAAAAAAAGTTTCAAATGACGTAGAATTCGATTTTCTGGCTCATTATCGATTGCTGTAATTTATTTATTTATTAATATTAATAGTTGTGTGCTAATTGATAATACCTATATTTATTGCTACGACTGGAAAATTACTTTTCAAACTGTTGTATTAAAAGAGACAGTGACTATAATTCATCTATACTAATATTTTGGATTTAAAGGGAATTGCATCTTTAGATTTACTTTTACTGCTACCATACTTAAAAGTTATTTTTATTTATAAAGACATATCTATTAAGTTTGTAAGATATTTACTATCTTTTTAATCTAATGCTAATCGTCTATGTTTAATACGATACGCAGCACTGTTTTATATTTAAAAAAGGTACGGTAGGTAATTTACTAATCTTTGTATTCTAACGCTAATCGCAGCATCTTCTTTACTGAAGCTATAAAACTGAAAAAGATTTTTCAAAATGTTGTGTTTATATAGCATTCAATTCGGCACCGTCATATTTTTTTTAAATCCTAGGACTTTATTTACTAATCTTTTGAAATTAACGGAAATCTCGCATTTTTAGTTTTATTATAGCTGTCTACCAAATTGAAAAAGCTTTTTCGAAAAATTTTTGTCTGTACAGTTGTCCAGTACGTTTACTTACTAGAAAAGACAAGGATTGTGTAATTTGGTAATTTATTTACTGATCTTTTGAATCTCACACTATTCGCGCTTCTTTAGTTTAGTACCGTTATCTACCTCACCAAAAACCTCCTCCATAATTACCGCCCACACAAAAATACTATAGTGTTAGAAATTGTACCTATTTACACCTCCAAGAGTTAGAGAATATTCAATTTTGAAGACGCCACCAAAATAAAAGGATTTTGTCAAAAAATTGTAGTCTCTGCATGGAAATGAAAGAAGGCTTTTGTAATTTTGCAAAGCACTTACCTATTAATATTTAGAATCTAACGATAATCGTGTATATTTAGTTTTGCTTCTACTGACAAACTGTGGAATTCGACACACCGTTTCCATTGGAAACGACTGGGATCATTTGCATCTAATATTATTTGCGTTTCTTCAGTTTACTATTGATTGAAAAAGCCTTGTCCAAAAATTGTGATATCTATATGACGTGGAATTCGACACATCGTCTTATTGCACAAAAAGGGACTTTAATTTATCGCTAACCGTATATCTTTAATGTTACTACCAGATTAGAAAAACTTTGTCGAAAAATGCTGTGGAATTCGACATACTACATTGTTTTACTATTAGGAAAGACAGAAACTATATAATTTTGTAATTTATTTATTATCTTTTGAACCTAATTAGTCCAATTAACTAAGCCTTTAAATCGAAATTTTGTCAACTTGGCTGAATTTTTGATATGAGTTAGTTTAAGGTATATTATAACAATAAGTGAGAGTAATTTTTTGTTCAACCCCCGGCCAAGGGTGGGAAAAGATAAAACAAAGGGCTTTTTCAAGATAACTCAAAAAGGGTAAGAGCTAGAAAAAAAAGTTTTTCATGAAAGTTGTAAAGCAGACAATTCTACATAAAAATGGTCTCTTAGCTTTTTCTTGTACTATTAAAATTAACAGAGTTAGGGAGGCTAGAAATTAAGGGAAGATTTCAGAAATTTAATTTTGTTAAATCATTAAAATTAACGATTAAAAATTTGATTTTTTGTTATAACTTTCTTATTAAAAATTAAAAAATATATCTATTTCTCTGAAAAGAAAAGTTACATATTTTAGAGCAGATTGAAAAAAAAAATTACAAAATTCAATCATTTTTCTGTTTGTTATGATTTTTTTTAAATTTCTGAAATCTTCCCTTAACTTCTAGCCTCCCTAACTCTGTTAATTGTAATAGTACAAGAAAAAGTTAAGAGGCCATTTTTATGTAGAATTGTCTGCTTTACAACTTTCATGAACTTTTTTTTCTAGCTCTTACCCTTTTTGAGTTATCTTGAAAAAGCCCTTTGTTTTATCTTTTTCCACCCTTGGCCGGGGGTTGAACAAAAAATTAGTCTCACTTATTGTTATAATATACCTTAAACTAACTCATATCAAAAATTCAGCCAAGTTGGCAAAATTTCGATTTAAAGGCTTAGTTAATTGGACTATAATGCTAATCGCTTCTCTTTAATTTTGCTGAACTAGTAAAATTGTTGCATATGTATAGGTAGTATTGAATTCGACACACGACATTACTATTAAAAAAGATAGGAACTATGTACTTTGATAATATATTTACTGATCTTTTCAATCACGCTAAGCACCTATCTTTAATTTTACTACCATTACTACCAAACTGGAAAAAAATTGTCGAAAAATTGTTTTGAATATATGGTTCGGAATTCGACACCTCATTATTAAAGAAGA